CCGACAGGCCCGATGGGTAACCGAGTTAGCAGAATATCAATTCACACTACATCACAAACCGGGAGCCCAGAATCGCAAGGCAGACTTGTTATCCCGACAAGCAGACCACGACCAAGGCAAGAAGGATAATAAGGACGTGATTGTCCTCAAAGCTGAACACTTCTGAGCTTTGGTTATGCCGACACAGGAGGAGTTACATGAGAAGATCAAGTTGACCACTCACGATCCCCGCAAGTGGGACCGAGGTATTTCTGACTCCCTTAATCACGAGAAAGGAATAACTCAGGACCAGGAACTACTCTGGTACGATGGACATATTTATGTTCCTCTAGATCGACGACTGCGGGGGGAAATCATTGCATCATGACATGATCACGTTACAGCAGGACATCCCAGCATCGAGAAAACCAAAGAGCTCATTCTGCGAGACTATTGGTGGCCTCGAATGCGCCAAGAAGTGGAAGCCTATGTGAAAGGGTGCAAAGTCTGTCAGCAAACCAAGGCAGACCACCGCCCAAAAAAGGCTCCCCTCCATCCAAACGAAGTACCAACGCGACTGTGGACTCACATTTTGGTCGACATGATTACCAAGCTCCCTGGTTCGAAGGGGTACGACTCCATACTAGTCATTGTCGACAGATTTTCCAAAACCATCATTCCCATCGCTTGCACCGAGGATCTTACCTCCCTCGGGTTTGCCAAAATTCTACGAGACCACCTTTACGTACCATATGGAGTCATGCCCGAAAAGGTCATTTCAGATCAGGGAGCCATTTTTGTGTCCAAATTCATGAAAGAGTTCTATGCTCTAATCCACGTAGCGGGTAACCCCTCTACTGCCTATCATCCTCAAATGGATGGGCAGACAGAGCAGGTAAATCAAGAGATCGAAAAATACCTTAAAATGTTTGTGAACTACCGACAAGATGACTGGAGCAATTGGCTATCACTGGCCGCATTCACGCATAATAATCGAAAACATTCGGCGACGGGTTTCTCTCCCTACAAGGTGATCTTCGGGAGGGACGGGCAAGTTATTAAAACTGCCCAACGTCCCGACGTGGTTCCAGCTGCGTCAAAATTGGTCCAGGGTATTCAAGAGGTGCAGGAGAGGGCAAGAGAGTCTTTAGAACGGGCGGCCGAGTCAATGAAGAAGGCCTATGACAAGCATAAGGACAAAGCCATGGAATACCAAGTTGGCGATAAGGTGTGGTTGGACTCTACCAACCTCAACCTTCCTCGACCCACCAAGAAACTTGGGGATCGACAAGTGGGACCTTTCACAGTTATGGCAAAAAAAGGCGCCTCCGCTTATGAACTTAAACTTCCGGTGGGTTGGAAAATTCACAACCGATTTAACGAGTCTCTCTTAACTCCATACCACCCTCCCGAATTTCCCAATCAACCGCATCCCAAGAGGCCACCCCCAGAACTGATTGATGAGGAAGAGGAATACGAGATCGAGGAAATTGTGGAGCAACGAGACAAAATCATCGGTCGAGGATGGACCCGCCGTACTATAACCGAATACTTGGTAAAGTGGAAGGGATACCCGATGGAAGAAAACTCTTAGGTAAAACGGTCCAATATGGCCAATGCAGAGGAATTAGTAAACAAATACGAAGCTCGCCTGCAAAGGATCGAATGGGAGATCGATAAAAAGGGAAGAACGGTGGGCATCGACAACAAGATACCCACAAATGATATCGTTACGTACCATGAGCCTGACACTCCTTGCATCACCGACATCGAAACGGTTTACTCCTCTGAATGCTCAAACCAACGGCATTCGACCATCCAACAAGACTCTTATCCCTCTTCTAAACGATCAACACCCTCAGAAGAAATCGCAGCCATCAACATGCCTGACGAATCAGGCGTGAAGTACGAACTAGACGAATGGCTTGACACATTGACGAAAGCAAAGGGCAGAGACTCACGTCCGAAACAACAAAAATCCCAGGAAGAGAACAGTGTCAGCCATCTCCACTTCACGGCGATCGAAAATGAAGACTCCGAGGAAGAGGTAAACCTCCAAAACCTCCAACGAATTCATGAAAACTGGAATGCAGGTGATGAGGATGAGGATGATGATGATGATGATGATGATGTACCATCATTCTACTCCGAATCCAAACATTCCTCTTCAGACAGTGAAGGATGGGAGACTGAGGACTCATTTGGGACGAACAAGTCTTGAGAAGGGGGTAATGTTACGGTTTATTCATTTTTCTTCGTTTTTCTTCGTTTTACTCAGCTGGATTACTCATATGCGACCATCACAGACATGTTCTCACAGTACTATTATTAGCGTACCCAAAATGTATTTAAGTAGAGCCTCAGCTGGTCTAAACCCCAGCTTCGGCTAAGGTTTAATCTACCCAACATCAAACTCCTTGCTCCGCGTCTATCTCGTTTGCAGTTGACTTGTCACGTCGCCTTTGACTTGCTAGAGTATCACCTACCAAAGTGCGAGTAGCGATCCTAGTTCGATCTAAGTCGATTCAAGTTGGTTGCTAACACCACCGCTGCCTTACTGAGCATCCAAGTCAGGCTTCCCAGTTTTAGTCTCATTTCTATAGTGAGCTCACTAAACGCATGCCAAGAGGTGCTCTCCCGACACCCACGGGCTTGTTCTCTAGCGACTGACAGGTCTAGGTGCCCAAAACTATCAGTCCTGGCATATGTCGTTCAAGACTTCTTTCTTGGATTCACAGAGGCTTCTCGTAGACATGGCAACAAGTGAGTCTTCTAACAATGGGACTCAGAACAATGGGACACAGGCTCATGGACTTCGGCTGAAGCCCATTGCCCAAGTTCATGCCGGTGATAGCTGTCATCTCGCTTAAGGATTTCCCTGGATTTTCAGGTACGACACGTCACAGTTAGCGAGCGCACTAAGTGTTCTCAGTGTCACTGCAATCTTCAAAGTTTTATCTAGCTCCCACAAGCATGCTTGTAAGTTAGAGCCTAAGGCATTGGGTATAGGGTTTGGCCTTCTCATCATGCATGCCCGTCAGGTACAGTGCCGTGACTAAGTCCTGTTTAGAATTGTTAAGATAACAACAGCTCAGTCAGTCACACGAAGATGTAGTGAACAGCTGTATTAAGTACACTACCTGTTAAGATAACAACAGCTAGATGAGTGTAGCGTAAGAAATAGGTAGTGGATGATAATATGAATGGTATATGCACCTCAGTCAATCACACGAAGATGTAGTGAACAGCTGAGGTGCATAGAGAGGCAAATGCCGTAGTTATAAGGATCGGGAGAAAGGAGGTATAGTCTAAATATAGTAAGTAGGAACATCGAACAAGAAATAATGAGAATACTGGTAGGGTAGGCTGAATCCTCGACAAGAATCCCATTGCTTCTTATGCCATAAGTTATATTCCATATCATTGCACCGCATAGCATTAGTGTCGATGTGTAGTTTTAGTCCGCTTGCTCACTATATCTCAGTATGCATGTAAAACACTTTAGATTGCAAAATTACATGCGTAAATAGGCTGCAGTCACAACATCGGTCCACAATCCCTGGGTTTTGAATTGTCGCATCCATGGCAAATTGAGCATGCAACAAACAAACTGTAGAGGTGCAACATGTTTACTCTCCAACCTCTTCTTTAGTGTCTCAACAGTAATGTTGACTATTGTGCCATCTTCCAGTGGCTTCCCATCTCCTATAGGCTGCACCAACAGTTTGTGAATCACAACAATGTCCTTAGAATAACTATTGTCTGGCATCGAACAGCCTAGTTCAGCTGCCTGATTTGCAGAATATGTTATCCAAGGGTAGGCAAAAGCTGGAAAGAATCTTTGAGCCTTGCCAGCCTTGGTATGGTCAATCTCCAAGACATTCAGACAATGGTAATGGATGAGTCCTTCCAATATGCAATGCATACTATCAATCACAAGCATCTGTGATGGATCCCAATATGGCAGTCTCCAGAGCTCAGACCAGCACATGCCAAATTTCTTGAGAATTCTTTCTCTTTTGCTGATGGTTGTAGCATCTCATGAAGCCTCCATGTATCTCTGTAATTCTCTAACATCTCTGTGACCCCAGTCCTCAAAACAGGTGTCATACATGGTATCCTTATGAAATGCATCACATACAGTGCAATACCAGTGCAATGAATGACCGGCCGTACCAGATAACTTCTGAGCAGCAGGCAGATCATTGACTGAGAGGACAATGGCAATTTCTGTATCCTGACCTTCAGGAGCAGAAGCTGTCTGAGAGATATGAATTCCACATTCCCAGCCAATAAGACAGATGTCGATGAGCAGTCGTATGAAGTTGGGAATCTCATCTATATAAGGTTCCTTAGGGCCAGGAATTACACCGGCAAGAAAGATATGTTTAAGCTGGTAAAAAAGGTGTTCTGGCAGATTGAGATTTGCCATTGAGATCATGCCAATGGAGTCATGGTTTCCTTGTTTTTGTGTGCCATTCAGATTTAAGAAGTCCATTTGCAGAGTGAGAGCTAGGCAAACCTTGCCTTTTCAATCAATGAAAAGTGTTTGACCATCAGGACCTTTGAATTGACACATGAAGTCTGCCTCAAATACATTTTTTATATCCCTTCTAGGGTCTGTCAGGTTGTTTAATGATTCCATAGCATCATCACAAGCCTTATCACATAGTACTTCAATATTTGGATCTGCAAGCATCTGTGCAATAAAGTCCTCCAATGACACCATGAGGAATGGCTTTTGGGGATTGAGAGTGCCATCTTTCCCACCTTTCAGCAAACTAGCACTGCAAACAACAAGGCCTGATGGCCCTGGATTTTTTTTCTTGCAATGACTAGGGTATGAGGGGCTGGAAGCAAGAGATGTGATGTATATAGGCTCATAGCAAGTGTTACAATTGGGGCATACAGCATACATTGTCATGTGACCATCTAGCTTTATTGTTTGCTGTGCGGTATGCAGACTGGATGGTAATTGATCCATGATGATCTCTTGGTTAGGATCAAGGCTGCATTCACCCTCAGGAATCCTCCATCAAGTTCGCTGCCATTGTGAGCCACACAATTAAGGTTGACATAGCGATAATCATATCACACATGATGCAACTCATTCCTGCAATACAATTGCAGATGACACCTAGCAATGTGATGAGTTGTGCCACCACATTGAGAGAATCTAAACATTGGTTGAAGATATAATCTGACATGATGATGAGACAAACACATATTGAGCCAATGTAAGACTTACTGGCAGTGTAAAGCAGAGGCTCCAAAGACTCCTCAGCTAGAGGTAGGATGGCATCAGCCATAGTCTGTTTTCCCTCAATTTCATGAAACACTTTGACGATCGTGACCTTCCGCTCTTTGAAGGCATCCTCATGCCCATACCTTACATGAGCAAGTGACTCCCTGAGATTTTTCAGCTCAAGTGCAATTTCTGTCAACTGCTTCCTGCTGCTGGCCACATCTGAAGACAAATCAGCGAGCAGTAGCACACACATCCTCTGGAGAAGGAGTCCGGTATTGGTATCAATGTGATTAATTGACTGTTCAGCCTTCACATACAGCATAGGAGTAGGTCTACATAAAGCAGATGCCGCTGGGTGTGTTAGTGCTTGTGTTCTCCAATTCCTTGATGGGTGTGTGGAAGGGTTATTCAGCATAGTTGGGGGTGGATGCAATGGGAGGGTTGTGCTAGAAGCATGTATTTCATTGGAAGCACTTAGAAGAGTGCTTTGGACATCACTGAAAGTAATGCCACTGGCATCCTGTGATACAACTGGGTCCTCAGGTTCCTCAAGCTGACTAGATGCTGACCAAAGTTTACTCAGCTGCTGCATCAAGATGGGCCCTCCCCCTGTTAAGATACATGCCATGAGATCATCTGCATAAGTGATGGGCCCTGGACCATCATCTGTAAGCACCAGAGTGTCATTCTTGCAACCAATTCATCAACAGGTTCCAGGGTATCACCTTGAAGTGTTAGAGGTGCCATCTTTGTAGTTAGTTCTTTGATATTACTCTGGAAAGCTGTCAGATGAATGTTGTAGGAATAAGGAGCAAAATCTCTTACTTCAAGACTGGGACTAGTAAGATTGTCAAGAGTCAATCCATGGCCTGACACTGAATGTGAGCTCATCTGTTGCTGAAGTCAGTTCTATGTAAATTGTTAACAGAGCAAAAATGTGAAGAAACAATTGAAATCATATCTTTGCCTTGAGCTCCAAAAGATGTGCTATTTTCTCCTTTCCAGAAAGGAGCTCATGCTCTCCAGGATGGCAAAAGCATATGTTGGGCTTCAGAGGCATGTCTCTCAGAGGTTGATTGTACTGGGCATGCAACACCCTGTAAAACACTGTCCTAGCGATAATTTACAAACCACAGTCAAGGCAATGACATAGACAAGCTTATTCTCCATGTATGACATGGAGAAGTGCTCTAAGGATAGTGAAGACAGCAGCATATTTCAAGGAAAAAAAACAATAAACACAATGCCCATAAACAATAACAATAACAATAAGACAGTTTTGCTATCGTATGACATTGACAAAACATAACAAAAGACATTGCCAGTGTATCACACTGATGAATAATAAAAAAAAGGCATCGCCAGCATATGATGCAGACAAAAGAACCAGCAGAGGCTGTGCAGTGCCCAAGTCCACTGAAGTCCGCTGAGATCATGTGCAGTCTCCACTGAAACAGTATCTACAACAAAATATTTAATTACAATTGCTTCAACTTGCAGGGCATTTCGAATAGATTGACTGAATTTTTGTGTACATTATCAAGATAAATTTACAATAAAACACAGTAAATACAAATAAAAGTATTATCATGCACCAAATGTACCAATATCCTGCAAATATTCCCTGGCAAGCCTTTCATTCTCCTCAGCAACCTTTTGAGACTGCCTTAAGAACCTGAGAGAGTACCTTCATTGATTGGTCATTCGAAGTACTGGATTGGGAGAATTGATCTCTGCAAGACAACCCCAGTATCATGACTTGCAATCAGATGACCAAAATCCAATGTTCAGGCCAGATATTTCCCAAGCAGCCAGTGAAGAGGCTGGCTGTGGGCATCTGTGGAATAGTGAGTGGGCTAAAAGGTGAACCTCAAAAACCCACACACACACTTACACAACTACACAAACTACAAACACCCTTGTAAGTTCTAGGGGGAGCGATTATTTCTAATGCAATCTGACTATACTTCAATATCTCGATGAGTTTCTCTTATTTTCAATGCTCTTAGTGAAGCTAAGCTTTCTCTAATGAATCCCTAAGTCTAGGAACTTTTACAGGAAGGTTGTTCACTGGCGCAATGCAACCTTCAAGGCAGATTTAAGTTAAAATACACAAGGGACACTGATCCCAACAGAAACAGAGGCAATACACACTGAAACTTTAGTGAGCTTGCTAAAAGAACACCACAGGCAAGCACTGACTTAGCCCACTCACTACACAACTGTGTGTAGGGGTCCTCCAACTAACTTCAACAGATGATCTCAACTCAAGAACACTTCAGAAGCTCTCAGAAACAGATTCAGAAAACAGAAAACTCGAAACAGAACTGATGCAGAACAGACTGAACAGAAACAGAACAGAACAGAACAGATCTCGGTTTTCCTCTTCAGAACATACTCTGAATGGACTTATCAACACTCAATGGAACAGAACAGCATCACTGATTCTTATTCTCTTGGAACTAAGTGCACAAAAAGTCTTTTCTCAAGGGTATCTCTGTTAGCCACCAACTCAACAAATAAGATCAAACAAGGACCGCCACTCGCACTTCAGTGGCCAGTGCACTTGCAGGTCTGTACTTGTTATGACAAGCAGGTAGGCAAACTTAGATAGTCGCGAAACAAGGAGAATGGATTGGGTAGATTAAACCTTAGCTGAAGCTGGGGTTTAGGCCAGCTGAGGCTCTACTTAAATACATGATGAGTAACCTAATAATAGTACTGTGGGAACAGAGTCCATGCAGGAGACACACAATAGAAGCATGGTGTCATCATACAAGTAAGCAAAAAAGAGTCAGCAAATAGTAGAACCATAACATTACCCCCTCCTTAAGACTCATTTGTCCTGAATGATTTGTCATTCCTCTTCGGCATCTGAAGATTCATCCCTGAAACAAGTTTGGAGTGCAAATTCCTCCTTTTCATCATCTTCCAAGTCCCTGTTTTCCACTACCTTTTGTAAGTGGTCTACATCAGACTTGTCATCAGAGGGAGGGTCCAGCAGGATTGGAGGGTTCCTGTAGGGTCTTTGTTCCCATCAGGAGTCTTTGATCTCTTTTGCTCAGCATTGGAGGTATGAGTCTCATACTCGGGGGTTGTTGAATTGGGGGTCAGGCTGTGGAGGTTTATACTTCCAGGTTTGGTCTGGGGGTAAATGGTTGTCTCACAGGTATTTGTCATTTTCTTCCTTTAAGGCTTTGTCCATCGCTTCCAATATTTCAGCTACGAGATTCCTGAATGAGGTTGTGGTTGAGAGGAGTCCTTTGTCTGAACCTGCTCTGGAGGCCCTGGCTTCTCCAATCGGAGCTAAATGTTCAGAGATGGGTGAAGTTTCACATGAGGAGGAAGGAGATGATAATGTTTGCAATCCCTCCAGTTCTGAATATAGAAGTCCTTCATCAGCATGCTGAGCCTTGTTCTTGATTCTTTGAATCCTGGCTTCATATTTGTTAACCAATTCTTCTGTGTTGGCCATATCTGATCGTTTTACCCAGGAGTTTTCTTCCATGAGGTATCCCTTCTATTTGACCAGGTATTTGGTGATAGTATGATGGTTTCGTCCATGCCCGATGACCTTGTCTCTTTGCTCCACTATTTCTTCAATCTCATATTCCTCCTCATCATCTATCAATTCGGGTGGTGGTCTCTCAGGTTGTGGTTGATTTGGAAATGAGGGAGGGGTGTAGGGGGTTAATAGTGATTCATTAAAGCGATTGTGAATTTTCCAGCCAACCGGTAGTTTGAGTTCGTAGGAGGACACACCTTTCTTCACAATAATCTCGAAGGGGCCAATGTGTTGATCTCCAAGTTTTTTGGTTGGTCTGGGGAGACGTAGGTTGGTCAAGTCTAGCCACACTTTGTCCCCTGGTTTATATTTGATCACTGGCTCCTTGTTCTTGTCATATGCCTTCTTCATCAATTCTGCTGCCCTTTCCAATGATACTCTCACCTTTTCCTGTACTTATTGTATCCCCTTTATCAGTTTCGATGCTGCCAGGACTGCTCCAGATGTTTGAGTAGTAGTAATCATCTGTCCATCCCTTCCAAATACGACCTTGTAAGGGGAATAGCCTGTTGCAGAGTATTTGTGGTTATTATGGGTGAAGGCTGCCAGCAGCAACCATTCACTCCAATCGTCTTGTCAGTAACTAACAAACATCTTGAGGTATTTTTCTATCTCTTGATTAATGCGCTCGGTTTGACCGTCTGTTTGGGGGTGATATGCGGTGGAGGGATTGCCCTCAACCTGGATGAGGTTGTAGAATTCCTTCATGAACTTCAAGATGAACACCGAGCTGCAGTCCAAAATAACCTTTTCTGGCAACCCCATAGGGCACATATATGTAATCCCTAAGAATTTTAGCGAACCCTATAGAGGTGAGTTCTTTGGTGCATGCGATAGGTATTATGGTTTTGGAGAAGTGGTCCATGATGACCAGAATGGAATCATAACCTTTAGAGTTGGGGAGCTTGGTGATTATGTCAACGGAAATGTGAGTCCACAGGCATAAGGGTACTTCATTGGGGTGGAGTGGAGCCTTCTTGGGCCTTCAGTCTGCCTTGGTTCTTTGGCAGGTTTCACATCCCTTTGCATACCCTTCCACATCTCAGTGCATCTTGGGCCACCAGTAGTCTCGAAGAATGAGCTCCCTGGTTTTTTCAATGCCTGGGTGCCTGGCAGTGATATGGTCATGTTTAAGGGCTATAATTTCTCTGCAGAGTTGCCAATCCTGGGGGATGTAGATGCGACCATCATACAATAACAGGTCCTGCTCCCGAGTGATCCCCTTTTCATGGTTGAGGGAGTCTGAAATGCCTCAATCCCATTTGCGTGGATCATGAGTGGCTAGTTTGATTTTTTCATGTAATTCTTTGGCAGTAGGCATGATGAGGGCCTGGAAATGCTCGGCCTTAAGTACCACTATGTTCTTATTGTCCGACTTCCCCTGGTCATGGTCAGCACATTGGGACAGCAGATCTGCTTTGCAGTTTTGTGCCCCAGGTTTGTGATGAAGGGTGAACTGGTACTCTGCTAACTCTGTTACCCATTGTGCTTGGCATCGATTGAGTTTTTGAGGTTTGTGGAAGTACTGAAGGTTGGAGTGGTCCATCCAAATTTTGAAATCTTCTCAGGCACTCATCAGGTAGTGATGCCATTCCTCTAGTGCTATCATGATGGCTAGAAGTTCCTTGTCATAGATCTTGTAATTGTGCTCCATGATGGATAAGGCCTTAGAAAGGAAGGCTACAGGCCTCCACTTGTCATCCTGCAGCTGTGATAGTACCATGCCAACTGCACCTTCACTCAAGTCCACCTCCACTCGGAACTTCCCTTTGTCAAGTGGGATGGCCAACACCACATCCTCCTTAAATAACCTCTTGAGGTTCTCGAATGCTCCTTGTTGTTCCTTCCCCCATTGCCATTCAGTTTTCCCAGTCAGGATCATCAAGGGTTTGACATGCTTGCTGTAATCCCAGATAAATCATCAGTAAAAATTGCAGAACCTGAGGAATGACTGTAGTTCCTGCTTCTTGGTGGGAGCAGGCCATTCGAGTAGGCCCACCACTTTTACAGGGTCCATCCAGATCTTCCTCTCACTGATAATCACTCCTAGGTATTCTGTCTCTTCTACTTTGAATTCGCATTTTTCCGCCTTGAGGAATAATTTGTTTTCCCATAATATCTGTAGAACCTTTCAAACAATTCACCTATACTCTGATCAGGTCTTTGAGGCAATAAGGATGTCATCCAGATACACCATTACCTCCCCTGCAGAGATGAGATCCTGGAAGATGTCATTCATCATCCACTGGAAGGTGGTGGGCGAATTGGTGAGCCCAAAGAACATGACCAAGGGTTCATACAGCCCTCAGTTTGTTCTGAACGCCACCTTCCATTCATCCCCTTGTTTGATTCGGATGTTATTATATCCCCATTATACGTCCAGCTTGGTGAAGTACTTAGCACCTTTCAATTTGTCCATCAACTCCCCTATTAGTGGTAATGGGTAATGATTTTTGATGGTCATTTCGTTAAGCTTTCGGTAGTCTTGGATGGGGCAAAGCTTCCCATCCTTCTTTTTGATGAAGAAAAAGGGCGAAGCCATGGAGGATTTGGAGGCCTGAATCCTCCCCATGGATAAGTTCTCATCCAGGAATTTGTCCAGTTCCTCCTGCTT